GAGAGAGGGGTTAATACAGTACAGACACACTGACTGGACACTCCAGTACATTAACACTGCACTGGGAGAGAGGGGTTATAGACGCACTGGACACTACAGTACAGCTCTACTGCACTAGAAGACACTGCTCTCAGAGACTCACTGCAGGGGTTTCTCTCCAGTGTGGATCATGCGATGAACTGCCAAGTTGTGGGAGCTCTTGAAGGCTCGGGCACAGTACTCACAGATATAGTCCCTCTGGTCTGAGAGAGAGAGAAAAATTCACTCTAACTGCACGGCTAGTGTTCACAAAGATCAACATTATCGGCATTATGACTATCAAAACAATCAGCATTACTAGATATCGAACAACATTTCTAGTCTCAGTATAATTAGTGCGATCAGTGTCACTCGAATCTGTCACACTCAGTACATCCACAAGTCTGCTGACCTGCGTGGGTCTGCAGTCTGAGGGTAACCCATGCCCTTGTAGCCTGAGGGGGGTACCTGTGTGGTGCTTGGCGTGGCGGAGAAGCTGTTTCTGCAGTCTGAAGAGCCGGCCACAGGAGGGGTGAGGACAGACGTACTTCTTCTTCAACAGGTGCTGGTACTTGATGTGGTGCTGAAAGAAAGAATCCACACTGCAGACCCACTCCCAGCTGGACTGAGGGCAGGGAGACGGTACTGACCGCATCAATAACCCTACTGCAGACACATTCTCAGCTGGACAGAAGGCAGGAAGAAAGCAGTCTGACTATACCACTAACCCTACTGCAGATACACTCCCAGCTAGACAGAGGGCAGGGAGACAGCACTCTGACTGTACCACTAACCCTAACCCTACTGCAGACACCCCCCCAGCTGGACAGAGAGCAGGGAGACAGCACTGACTGTACCACTAACCCTAAACCCACTGCAGATACACTCTCAGCTGTACAGAGGGTATGGAGACAACACATTGACTCGGACTGTACCACTAACCTGCAGGTAGCGGGGGTGTGCCAGGACTGTTCCACAGCCTTCCATCTCACAGCGCACATACTGGATAGGGGGCTTCTTCCTGCAGTGGTTAGAACACATGGCCACCGTTACTGCTGTCATAATTACATTGAACTGGGATGCAGAGGGAAAGGAACAGAGAGTTTACAGTTCCTCGTAGGAGACATTAGCCTGTGCAAGTTACATACAGGTTATCATATATGTGCATAATCCTAAGTAAATATGCATTTAAGAAGAGTCACAGACGAGAGAAGTCATTCAGACCATCTGGCTTTGTTGATATTTAGACATTAATTGATTCCAGGATCTTGTCCAGCTATCTCTTGAATGAATCCAGGGAACCAGCTTCAACAGCATTTCTGGACAGCTTGTTGCACACTCCCACAACTCTAGCGCCTTCTGTTCTCGGCTTTAACTACACTTCTACGTAGTTTTCAATTATTTCTGAACAAGTCTGCTGGGCTGACTGCTGATGAGGATTTTGAATATCTGTATCAGGTTTAACTGTTGCATACTAAAAGATCCTTCAGCCTGTCAGTATAGGAAACGCCCTTAAGACTAAAGAGACTCATTTCCTTCAGTCTGTAAGTGTGGAACATTACCTTAAGACTAAAGCTGCTGGAAGAAGTGTTAGTGGAAACAGTACAGGGCGCTCATCCACCAGTCTGTGTGGGTCCTGATGCCCCAGTATAGTGATGGAGACACTATAATGTAAAAAAGGCTCTATCCTTTGGATGAGAAGTTAAACCGAAGTCCCCTTTACCTCTAAAACACTATGAGTGGAGTGTCCAGAAAAGCACTATATAAGCGTAAGGAATTGTCGTTATTATTAAAGTTTCTGCACTAAGAGAGATTGATACAGACACACCCCATCTTGATCAAATATCTTCCTACAGTGTTAAAGCAGCAGTGTGTTAGGGCTGAGAGCGTACGAGTGTATTGAGCGACCATCTCACGACTCCATCAGCTTGCTGAGATCAAGCCAGTGAAGCCCTAACCTTAACGCTCACTCAAACCCTAACCCTCAGCCCTGACCCTTGAACCTGGAGCAGAGAGGCAAGATCTTTACCGTCTCTTGGGGAGTCGTGGGCTCTTATCATCCTTCCGACGTCTGCCCCTCCTAAAGACAGACAGGCAGAGAGTGTCAGTCAGGCCCAGAGAGAGAGACAGGCAGGCAGAGAGCTCAGAGAAACATTTACCACTTCACACTGGAACACACCCCTCAGAATCTGGGTATTTCAGCCTGGCGGTACAGGCACCGAAGGAGAAGGCACACAAGGCTTTCTATTCCATTCAAAGGAGGCTCTAAAACAGCGACCTGGCTGTGACCAGGTCAAACATTAAACTGGCTGCAAGCGTTTGAATGGGTAATCCAACCCATTGCCCTAAATGGCAGTGAAGTGTGGGGTCCCCTCACTCTCCAGATTTACACTAAATGGGACAAACACCCCATAGAAACTGGACACATGGAGTTCTGAAAAAACATCTTCCACGTGCAGAGAAAAAAAAACAAGTGCAGGGTCGAATTAGGCCATTACCCATTACTAATCATCACACAGAAGAGAGCAATAAAATATTTGGTTACACCTGAACTCCTACCACCACAAGGCCCTGCTGAGCCAAGAGAAGAGCCCTCTCAGCCAGCTCACTAAAACCAACCAACTTCAGCAAAGCTAAACAATACCAATACCAATCAAAAATTTTTGTTTGCGTTTAGCAATACGGTGATTTATTCTTTATGCATTAATGATCTGTCATTCAGTTAGGAGATAGAGAGAGAATCAGCCCTAGAGGTTATTTTATTTTTTCCTTAATAAAATGTGCTTACGGCTATGTGAATTTCACAGCTAACAGAGAGAGAGAAAGAGTCAGTCAGGCCCATGGAGAGCGACAGACATGCAAGCTGACTGGCTGATTCGGTTATATACAGAACGACCAAGTCATGCTGACACACAGGAACACACACTCAGTCAGACAACTCTCTCCCCTTCCCTCTCCCTCACTTCCTGGGCGGCTCGCTCTCCTCTCCAAATTCGTTCTCCTGTTTGACGTCGACCTCCTCTGTCTTGATCTCTGCCGATTTCTTCTCCTCCTTTGGTTTGGGGGGACGCCGGCGAGGCTTTGGAGGGTCCCTAGAAGCAATCAAATGAGATTAATACTGGCTGTCTGGACACTCCAGTACATTAACACTGCACTGAGAGAGAGGGGTTAATACAGTCCAGACACACTGACTGGACACTCCAGTACATTAACACTGCAACGAGAGAGAGGGGTTAATACA